ATATATTTTAAAAAAAAAAAGAATATTTGAAGAGTTGAGATTTAGTCTGTGATGGGCCACAATCTCCAGTCCCTCCCTCCACTTCCATTCATTTTCTCTACCTAGCTATGTCCAGGCTGAGTTTCTGGGGTTTTTGTTGTGTGTTTTTTGTTTTGTTTTGTTTTGTTTTGTTTCTCCAACAATTGGACACCCCCTGACAGAACCTGCTGCGGTTTTCTATCAGAGGTTCACAGAACAAGAGATCAAAGAGAGAGCCCCACTTCCTATAGAGCCATGCCCAACCCTTCGTTCCTGCCATTTCCTGGCTCTGGAGCTCCTCCCCTCGTCCTGTTTTCTATCTCCTTGCAGATGGGGCTGAGAAATCCTTCCAGAGAGATGACACAGTGGCTCCCCTTCTGAAGAGCCACTCCATGAAAGCACAAGACTGAGCGAGTGATGAGAGAACTCTCCAATCACCCGCCTGTCTCACAGGCGCACACACCTCCTCCCCACATCCTGAGGGCTAATCACTTCCCCCGTGAGCCCAGAGCACGGTTAGAACTTGTTCACAACACGTCTCCCGCTTGGTTTATTCTATAATTATGGGATATGCCAGTATCTCCCAACACCAGACAGTGAGCAACGTGAGGGCGAAGAACCGCCTACTTCACCTCTGTCACCATCTCCAGGTGCCTGCTGTGGGGAGGGACACAGAGCGGACATCAGAAAGGGCTTCTGGATTGAGAAAGGAAAAATGAAGGCCACACAGTGGTCAAACTCAAGACTCAATCTTCCCTGAAGCCATCCTGTTTCAGTAAGGGCGGAAAGAGGAGAAAGTGTCTCCTTCTTCCCAAACATACTCCATCCCTCAGAGTCTCAGTATCACTCCTGCTCCAAGCAGTTTGGCCTCTATCAAGGGGTGTGTGTGTGTGTGTGTGTGTGTGTGTGTTGGGGTGAGATTTTTTTTTTAAATATATTTTATTGATTTTGTACAGAGAGGAAGGGAGAGAGATAGAAAGCTAGAAACATCGATGAGAGAGAGTCATCGATCAGCTGCCTCTTGCACACCCCCTACTGGGGATGTGCCCCAACCAAGGTACATGCCCTTGACTGGAATTGAACCCGGGACCTTTCAGTCCCCAAGCCAACGCTCTATTCATTGAGCCAAACCAGTCTCGGCGGGGTGAGATTTTTTAAAGCCTCTATCACTCCTTTGAACCAGAATTTGAATCGCCACCGCTGGAAAAAGCAACAATTCTGGGGACCCTCATGTTACTGCCTGGGCACCTTGGAGGAGGTTGCCAAAACAAGAGTCATGCGTTATTTGCAAATGTGTCCTGCACACCTGCTTTGTGCCAGGTGTGGAGTTGCTTACTGGCAAAGGGGAGATAAGACACTCTGTTCTTGCCTTCAAGGCACTAGTGCAATCCCACTTTCATAGTGGCTGCTTATGCATAGCACAAAGAGAAGAGGTACCAGGTTGCACTTCAGACCTCACAGATCAAAATCTCTTAAATGGAGCTGGGTACTTTTCTCTAAAACCTCCACAGGTGAATTGATCCACGGGCAGGGTTGTCAGCCACGGATCTCTGGATCAGTGCTGTCCAATAGAACTTTCTGCAGCGATGGACTGTTCCCTCCCTGTGCCACCCAGTCAGTAGCCCCTAGCCACGTGTGGCTATTGAGTACTTGAAACTAGTGACTAAGGAACTGAACTTTTTATTTTACGTATTGTAATTAAGTTAAAACAGCCACCCATGGATAGTGCCTATTATATTGGACTGTAAAACTATACATGATCCACAATCACTTAAATGTGGTTTGAAAATAATTGTGTAGCAGGTGAAGTGTCCATTCCCTTTGGCTCAGGAGAAGACAGTGAGCTTCCCTTCCCTAGGGACACTTATTGATACTGAAACACCGCTCTGGAATGACCTGGGGGAAGGGGCCATCCGGTGGGTTAAGTCCTATTAGCTAGCTAAGCTACCTCACCAGCTTCCACATCACCACCTCTCCCCCCACCCTCCCCTGGCCTGGGGAAAAGCACGCCTGAGTACCCTCTTTAGTTAGAGGTCCATATCGGTGGGGACATAAAAAGCAGTGGCCCGCTGAAACCAGTTTGGCTCGGTGGATAGAGCATTGGCCTGCAGACTGAAAGGTCCCAGGTTCGATTCTGGTCAAGGGCATGTACCTTGGTTGTGGGCACAGTAGGGAGTGTGCAGGAGGCAGCTGATCGATGTTTCTCTCTCATCGATGTTTCTAACTCTCTATCCCTCTCCCTTCCTCTCTGTAAAAAAATCAATAAAATATGTTTTTAAAAAGCAGCGACCTGAGTTTAGGTGCCTCTTATGGACTGAGCTGTGTTCCCTAAAGCATATGCTGAAGCCCTAACCCCAATGGGACTGTATTTGAAGGCAGGGCCTTTACAAAGGTTGTTACGGTTAAATGAGGTCAGAAGGTGGGATGAATGACAGGTGTCCCTGTAAGAAGGAGTTGCCAGGGAGGTCCACACATGGGGAACAGGCCATGGAGGATACACGGAGAAGACGGCCATCCGTAAACCAAGGAGAGAGGCCGCAGAAGCCAAAGCTGCCGACACCTGCATTTTGACTTTTCAGCCCCCAGGACTGTGAGAAAACACGCTGCTGTGGTGCAGCCCCAGCCTGCGGAATTTTGTTGTGGAGGCAGACTAATCCAGCGTGCTTGGGGAAAGGCAATGGCAGGATCCTAATTAACCCTTCCCTGACGAGAAAGGTTAAGAATAGTGACTCTACCATCTGTGGGGTTCCACTTATTGTTGGGTGTTTTCTTGTGCATCCTGCTTCCCCAACTGTGCTTTAAATTCTCTAAAATTAGTCTAGGATTCAAGACCCTTCATAGACTGTCCCCAATGTCCCTCTCCAGTGTTTCCTCCCAACTGGATCAAGTCAGTGCTTATCTATTTGCCGCCCGTTGAACATAACCACACTCTTCTCTAAGCTCTCCAAAAGCTTCTCGTTTAAGGCCACTGGAAATGCCACCTCTTCCAGGAAGCTTTCCCTGACTGCCTCAGCTAAATATGTAAGGGAACAACGGCTTCCATCTCGGGAAGTTATCCCATGGTGCCTAAGCCAGTGCTCTGCAGCATGGAGCAATGACTACTTACCACTAGCGAGGAAATGACAGCTAAGGCATGTGGGGGTGCAAAACTGTAATCCAATTCTGATGCGAACTACCCTGAGTTAGCCCTCCTCCAACAGGTTTAAGGGCAAAGACTGCCCTCATTTCAGATGCCAGCTGAAAGTTCAAAGGTCCCCAGGCCACCTATACTTCTTTTGTTTTTCTTCCCCCTACCCGGCCACCCATACCTCCTCCCACCTATACTTCTGGCTATAAGTTCAGGGGTCCCCATGACACCTTAAGGTTCAATAATTTACTAGAATAACTCACAGAACTCTGTAAAGCATTCTACCTACAATTACAGTTTATTATAACGGATACCAATTACGACCAGCCAAATGAACAAACATGTAAGGCAAGATCTGGGATGGTCCAAAATACACCTTCCATCCCCTTTCCCACAGAATCATGAACCACCACCCTCCCAACACATCCATGTGCCCACCAACCAAGAAGCTCACCAAAGCCTTGTATCCAGGTTTTTATTAGGTTCACTATGTAGCCATATCTTACTGAAATCATTGCCCCAGCCAGTTTTGCTCAGTAGATAGAGCCTCAGCCTGTAGACTGAAGGGTCCCAGGTTGAGGGCACATGCCCAGGTTGTGGACTCCATCCCCAGTAGGAAGCATGCAGGAGGCAGCCGATCAATGATTCTCTCATCATTGATGTTTCCATCTCTCTCCCTTCCTCTCTGAAATCAATAAAAATATTTTTAAAATCATTTTATTTTTTATAAAATCATTTTTGAGTACAGAAAAAAAACTTATTGTCCACATGGTTGAACTCAATCTCTAGCCCCGTCTCCTCCCTGGAGGCTGATATCGCCTGGCTCAAAGCCCCTACCCTCTAATCGCGTGGTTGGTCTTTCTGGCACGGTACCCTCATCCTGAGTCAAACTTCATCATAAACTCAGCTGTAGTCCGAGGCATCGACCATGAACAACAGAAATTCCTATCCCTTGGGAAATTCCAAGGATTTAGAGGCTCCCTGTAAAGACCCAAGGACAAAGACCAGTAAAATTATTTATTATACAATGTGGGGTGTAGAGAATGGGGAGGACTCAGGCACTTACATTGAAAGTCTTAATTTTGAAAGCTGGAGATGACCTGTCCCTGAAGAGCCCGTGTGTTCCTCGTTAAGGTGGTCTCAGGACCGTCTCTTCTCTCAGCTTGATTCACTTCCCAACCCTTGCCAAATGGGCACACCAACCAGCCATGCAACAGACATAAGAAATGAGCGAGCTGACGATACCAGGCTCCCATCCACCCATCACATCTCCCCAGAGTGCCCTGAGTGGAAGACAAACCACTGGACAGGCCCCTAGCAGAGACCCGCTGCTTTGGTAAGGCAACTGGAAATGTTTACATCACCCCCTAGCTACCCAAGAGAAGCCTCTGCAAACTGCTGGAGGCTAAGTCAAGTGGGTCATAATAAATGCAAGAAGTCCTCAAAAGGTTGAATGAACTCTTTCAAGGGGCTGAAAATCTGCATGTTATTACCTGCTGCTGGAACAGCAATTCCCCCAGCCTGATGGTCCTTTACTGTTCACCAAACCTTACCTTTGATATGTATATCTGCTTTGCTAAAAGGAAAAATGTATGAATAAAAGCCCTGGGTCTGGAGACTCAGAGAATTTAGTCCCTTAGCTAAGCCACCCCTGGCTTTCCCTCATGCCTCCCATATTTGTATTTAATGTCTAGTGTCTAGTTTAATTTACGTCACAACCCCTTCTCCAGATTCCTGAACCCTTGCAACTGCAGAACCCCAGCACAAACAGTAAAGAGATAGGAGGGAAAATCTAAACTACCACTTTCCACCCCTGTCATGTTCCCAGAGCAGGGAAAAAGCACCAACACAAGACGATTTAGGAGTTTAATGCTTAGACTGAAAAATCACAGGCTGGGTTTTCCATAAAGTCATTGGTCCATCTCTGGCAGGGCAAGTCTGCCCTCACCCAGGCCACAGATGGAGGCTAAGACTTGTCCCCAAGGCCTTCCAGTGGAGGGCTTCCCTTGTAGTGCAGTGACTCCCCAACCGGAGGCAAGAAAAAAAGGAGGTAAAATGAGCATCTGTGTGCCAGGCACCACACAGGCACTTCAAGTGTTATCCCAGTTAACCCCGCACCAACCCCATGAGACAGGGATCCCCACTCTACGGAGGAGGATCCCAAGGCTTGGAGGGGTTAATCAACATGCCCAAAGTCAGGTTCACAGTCTCAAGAGGTCTTTGAGCCTTCCCCACTCTGCCACACCGAGGAGAGGGCCAGGCGAGGAACACGGCTCTGTGAGAATGGGTGCGCATCCCGGCAGGTTCTTTTCTCTAAAATAGCCAATGTGACCTTGGAGGTCACTCAGCTGAACACAGGCTCTCGAGGAAACAGCGAAGGAAGCAGTTTGCAGGTGGTGCTTCTCTGTGGCGTTAGGTTCCAGAAGGCAATGCTCAGAGGGAGGGGAAGAAGGCGGGAATCAGGAGAGCGAGTCGTAGTAGTGTCAACACTGCCCTGGCGGGTCCCAGCGACCAGCCAGCGAGGAGGGGCTTCCTGCTCCAGTCCAGGAGGCGGGTAGGCATCCGTCGCCCAAGAAGGACCTGGGGGCGTTGAATGGTCCCTGTGCCGGGCCCCGGGGACTCACTTCGTCAGCAGCGGCAGCAGCCCCAGCTCATTCAGTCTCTCCTTGGCCGCCGGCTCCCAGCCCTTGTTCGCCTGCGGGCTCCGAGGGGAGGGGTGCAGGAGCCCCTCCACCTGGACCTCGGGCATCAGGCCAGCCAGAGCCCGCCGTGCCCGCTGCTCCGCCAGCCGCCCCACTCCCACCACCAGCCGCACCCCCAGCAGCTGCACCTGCCGCTGGAGAGCCGCGTCACAGAGCCCGAGGAGCTGTTCCCGCTGCTTGGCAGGCAGATCGGCGGGGGTGAGGTTGCGCCCGCTGGGAGCCAGGAAGAGCAGGGGACACAAGTTGTGGACAAAACAGTGACGGAAGAAAACCTCGGGCTGCCCACAGAGGTTCCGGAAAAAGCCCCAGAACCGGGCACCACTCACCTCTGACTGTGGGCACTCCAGCCCCAGCACTGGCCGCTTAGGGTGTTCTTGAGGAGGGGTCGACACGGAGCCCCCGATTCCCAACCAGTCCCGGACTACACTCACTTCCCCAAAGGGCACCTGTGGAGGAGAGAGACATGAGGGCTCCAACAGGAGACCGGACTCCTGTTCTCTGGACCAACTGCCCCCTCCTCCCTCTCCCATGGGGATCCAGCCTGAACACCTGCTCACACACCCTGCCACCTTCACCCAAAGGCCTGAGACAAGAATGCCTCAGCCTGCCGAAACCGGTTTGGCTCAGTGGATAGAGCATCGGCCTGCAGACTGTAGGGCCGGTCAAGGGCATGTACCGGTCAAGGGCATGTACCGGTCAAGGGCATGTACCTTGGTTGCGGGCACATTCCCAGTGGGGGGTGTGCAGGAGGCAGCTGATTGATGTTTCTGGCTTTCTATCCCTCTCTCTTCCTCTCTGTAAAAAATCAATAAAATATATTTTTTTTAAAAAAGAATCCCTCGTCCTGTGGTTTGATCTTGTCCCTTTTCCTCCAATTTTTCACTGTGGACTGTGACCCAGAACCTATTTGTTTGCCTCTACCCCCACTGGCCCTCGGACCACGTACAGGGAGTTCACGGGGCCATCGGGCCCTTCACAAGGCATGATGGGTAGTACTGAGGACAAACGGATGGTCTGAGACAGAAAGGCTGCCAGGGTTCGAGGAGGCACAGGGACAGGGCTGACCACTGCTCTCTGGGTGCCCTCTCAGCCCCAAGCCTCAGGCTGTCATTTCCATCGATCATCATTGACCACCTTTCATCCCCCAGTGGGGGTCAATAAAAGCGATTGAGCCTCCTGCCCTGAAGCCTCTTCCCCTCCCCCACATGCCACGCAGCCCACCGAGGGGCAGTCACTCATCCCCGGGCCTGAGAGATAAGCAGGCAGCCCGGAAGCCTGGCTCTGGTCTGAACCTCTCCTCGGCTAAGAAACAGAACACAGGCTGCCTGAATACGCTGCATCGATTCCACACCCAGCCCTGCCCATCAGTCTCTCCTGAGGGCCCAGGAGTCCTGGTCTCTCTCCTGATCCCAACCACATTCTAGGGAGAAGGGAGATCCGGTAAGGTGAGGATGGGGCTGGCGGAAGGAAGGGCTCTCAGAGGCAATTAGTGAACAGCTCACAGAGGAAACGGAACTGCATTAATGTCCTTGGTTAACTGCGGCAGCGAGGCCGGGAGGGTGTGTGAGACCCACAGGAGCCCCGCACAGCCGCACACATACTCCTCCTCCTCGGCACCCCCCAGGGACAGCCGGCCCTTTACCCCGGTCTGGGCCATGCCGAAGGGCCCCGGGTTCATGCCCAGGAAGAGCACTTCCTTGGGGCCCTGGCAGTAGCGGGTCACGTAGCTGCGATGTGGCTCCCACGCGTACTCCACGGGGTTGTAGATCATGCCCACGGGCTCCGAGAACTGCAGCTGGCTCAGCTCCGCATTGAGCCGGAGTTCCTCCCCCAGGAAGCCCTCAGCCAGGCTCCGAGGGCAGGGCTGGGGCTCCGCCGGGGGGGTCCCGGCAGGCTCATGAAGGGGTCCCGGTGGGAAAGCCGGGGGCACAGCCATGTCACCGTCACCTGGAAAAGAGATGGACAGAGCCCCCTCAGCCCTCGAGGGATCCAGACTGGCCAGGCCTCCACTACCATTTCCTGAACTCCAAAAGGACTCTATCAGTCACCCTCCCAACTTCCAGGCAGGACTAAGCTCATCTCAGTTCTTGGTAATGAAAGGACCTCTTCTCTCCCAGCTTCAAGTATCCTCCCCTTCATTCATCAGCTGGTGAGAATGACCCACCACCACTCCAGACCGCCTTTCCGTCAGGCTAGGTCTTGAGTCTCTAGTACCTAGACCATGGCAAGCGATGATAAGCTTCCAATAAATGTCTACTGGTGGCAAAATCTCAGCACCTTCAATGTCACCCTTAATAAAACAAGCCCAGCCAGGATGAGCTGTGTCCAGGAAGCAAAAGTGCTGAAGAATGAGATGCAGGTGCAAAGCCGTAGCTCAGAGACTAAGTACTAAGGGCTAATTACAATAGCTTCCAGGTGGTAAGCAAGTGCTCCGTGCCAGACACGCCGCATTGATACTCATAACCTCCCCATAAGATGGGTATTAATGCTCCCATGTCACAGGTGCGAAGACTGAGGCTTAGCAAGATCAGCCAACTTGCCCAGGGTTATGCAGTTAGCAAGTCATGACCTGGGATTTGAACCCAAACTATCTGACTCAACACTGAGCCCTTGATCACCCAAACCATCTTGCCTGAGATCCGTGTCGGCAAACTGCAGCGGCTCTCGAGCCACATGCGGCTCTTTGGCCCCTTGAGTGTGGCTCTTCCACAAAATACCACGGCCTGGGCGAGTCTCTTTTGAAGAAGTGGCGTTAGAAGTTTAAGTCTAAAAAATTTGGCTCTCAAAAGAAATTTCAATCATTGTACTGTTGATATTTGGCTCTGGTGACTAATGAGTTTGCCAACCACTGACCTAGATGATTCACTCAGCCACCCTGCTAATTCTACAACCTCCCCAGCCCCGTCCAGCTTCTTGCCCACATTCAAGAATCCTCAGTGTTAAGTGGGATGACTACCAGACTCTCTGACAAGCAATGTAACCATGGTCAGTCTTTGGTTTCCTCATCCAAATACTAAAAATAATAATACTCACTTAATAATATTGATATATTGCCGGGACTGGTTTGGCTCAGTGGATAAAGCGTCGCCTGTGGACTGAGAGGTCCCGGGTTCGATTCCGGTCAAGGGCATATACCTTGGTTGTGGGCACATCCCCAGTAGGGGGTGTGCAAAAGGCAGCTGGTCAATGTTTCTCTCTCATCAACGTTTCTAGCTCTCTGTCCCTCTCAATTCCTCTCTGTGTAAAATCAATAAAATATATTTTAAAAAAACACGATTTTAAAATAATAATAATAATGATATGAGTGATTTCATTTATATGTGTGATCTAAAAAGCAAAATAAAAGAACAAGAACAGAAACAGGCTCATAGACACAGAGAACATTTTGATGGTGGCCAGTGGGAGAAGTATAGGGGGACTGGGTGAGAAAGTGGAAGGGATTCCATACAATATGGTAGTCACGGTGAATGTAGAGCATAGGGAACATAGTAGATAGGACGGTAATAACTGTATGGTGTCAGAAGAGCACTCGATTTATCGGGGCGATCACTTCATAAGCTGTCTAAACACTGGGTTGTACACCTAAAAATAATATATTGTATGTTAACCGTATTTGAAAAATAAAATTATTTTAAAATAATATTAATATGCCCAGCTGGGCCCTAACCGATTTGGCTCAGTAGATAGAGTGTCAGCCTGCAGACTCAAGGGTTCCAGGTTTGATTTCAGTCAAGGGCATGTACCTTGGTTGTGGGCACATTCCCAGTAAGGGGTGTGCAGGAAGCAGCTGATCCATGTTTCTCTCTCATCGATGTTTCTAACTCTCTATTCCTCTCTGTAAAAAAATCAATTAATATATATATTTTTAAAAATACACCCAGCTGGTGTGGCTCAGTAGTTGAGTGTTAGCCTATGAACCAGGAGGTCACTAGTTCAATTCCCAGTCCAGGTTGCAGGCTCAACCCCCAGTGGGGGGCATGCAGAAGGGAGCTGATCAATGATTCTCATTTATGTTTCTCTCCCTCTCTCTGAAATCAATAAAAACATATTTTTAAAAAATCCTACATAATAAAAGCCTAATATGCTAAGTGTCTGACGAATCATTCAACCATTCGACTGGTCGCTATGACACGCACTGACCACCAGGAGCAAACACTCCGACCGGTAGGTTAGCTTGCTGCTGGGGTCTCGCCCAAACTGGGTGAGATCCAGGCCATATATACTCTGAAGCCCTCCCTCGGTCCCTCCTCCTTTCTGATTGTGCACCTTGGCCTGGCCTGCACCCTCTGCAATCCAGGGCCCCTCAGGGGATGTCGAGAGCTGGTTTAGGTCCAATCCCTGCAGGCAAGGCTAAGGGACCCCACCAGTGCAGGAATATGCGCACAAGGCTTCTAGTATAATATAAAAGAATGAGATGTTGCATGTAAAGGGGGAGGAAGGGAAAGGGGGAAAAGAAGAAGAGATGGAAGGAGGGAGAAAATGGGGGGAATATTCAAGCAAGCTTTGTAACCTGTAAAGGCCATTCCTTCCAATCTTTCTTCTCACCACTGCCATGCAAACCCAGTATTCCAACCTGATCATACCACTCATACTTTCAAAATGCCTTTCCTACCCCAATTCTCAAAATTTGCATGTGCCATTTCTACAGACACTCCTTTAAGTCGACAAGATTGTGACTCCCCTACTCTCCACACATCCAAATTATACCCATCCTTTAAGCAGCTCAAACCACCCTTTTAGTACAGCCCTCCCTCAAAACACTGCATTTGCCACAGCCACCCGACACTTGAGGCCTGGGAATCTGTATTTGAACAAGCTTCCCCCAGGTGCTTCTGATGGTTGGTGAAGGCTGAGAACCACTGTGTGTCACTAGGATAAGTACCGTGTTTCCCCGAAAATAAGACATCCTCCGAAAATAAGACCTAGCGCAACTTTGGGAGAAAAAATTAATATAAGACACTGTCTTATTTTCGGGGAAACAGGGTAGCCTCTTCATAGATTCACATATATCTCCCCCTTCAATGTACTTGAGATCAGAAGCCAGTCACTGTACAGTTTCCCTCCATAGCTGCAAGGACTTGGGTCTTATTAAGTTGCCAGTGAATACCTGCTCAGCTCTGTCCATCCCTTTTTAAACTACCTTCTGCCAAGGAGCCGTTCCTGATGGACTCTGCTCCACTTCTACATCCTGACTCACTGAAGGCTCAGCTGCCCACCTGTACGCTGCCCCTTCCCAGGGCTCGTCAGACTCTGGGTGTTCCCATCGGGGCTGGACCTCCCATAGGTAGGTCCTTTCTCCCTCTCAACCCTTGCCCAGGTTAGGAACTCAAGAGTAACCCAGATAGGAACTCAAGGTTGACACAACAGCTTGATCTATCAACCTGTTCTCTGACCCCAGCCTGGAAGAGAGGGGGGAGGTGGGGACCAGGGGCCAAACTTAGAAACTCCTTCCCCAGTCTGACCTCAGAATTCTCTAACTGACCTATCAGCCGGCTACCCAGGGCCAACTGACCTCAAGCGCGCTCTGAGAGGGGAGCTGTGGAGGACTCACATGTCTCAGAGGCTCTTGCTTTGCAGCTCCCCAGGCAGCACCAACATTAGTGGGCTGGCTGCTCCGGAGGGGGGATCTCTCTCAGGCCATAGCAGGACCTCCCTTTGATTTTCAGAGACCTATGCTGGAGGCAGCAAGGCTGGGGGCACACACAGTGACAAAGGTTATCTTCAGCGTTCCAGGGTTTCAAAGCCTGATCTGACAGCAAGAGCCACAGGATGGGTGTCATTTGACTCAAATTCTGGTCCAGATTTCAACTCTACGAAGTTCTCTTAGGGGTGTCGAACTCAATCAGAGAAGGGGCCAAAATCTAAAATCCAGCCTAAATCGCGGGCCGAATGGTTTACTGAACAGTCATAAACTGTCATTGTGATGGAAACGCAGCGGAGTGCAGTGATGACAGCGCGGTGCGGGCCACATTGCAAGGCCTGGCGGGACGGATTTGGCCCGCGGGCCTTGTGTTTGACACATGTGCTCTAGTCACTTAACTGTTACGATGAAATGAAAATGAGAAATTCCACCTAACCTACCAGCAGCAGGTAACTCATTTATTTATTTTTTTTTCAATATTTATGAGTCTTTTACATGATAGGTACTGTAACAGTCTGTTGCTTGGTGGGGAAGAATTCCCAAATGAAAAGAGCGTATAGGCCAGGCTCAGAAACCACTGAGATGACAGATAAACAACTGTAATACACTGTGGCTGGAGCTTTAATGTCCCAAACAAAATACCGTAAGAGTCCAAAAGAGGAACTTGGAAGTACTATCTAAAAAGTCATCAAGAGCCAGAGACTTAAGTCACGTACTAGTAGATACTTCATAAAAGACAGTGTCATGTCACATTAAGTGCAGAGGAAGTGGAGGGTGACCCAGCGGTAAGTCTGGACACGTGGGCTCTCTGATACAGAAAGTGAAGAAGCGAAGACACTCTCCACTCCCCTGTCCCTATGGGCCCCCCAGGAATCCACAGGAACAACCGGCAAATCGTCAACGCCAATAATTATAATAAAAATAACACAGCATGCGCTCAGAAACACCACTTCATCCTTGCTCCTGGCTCCGAGGGGGGCAGACGACGAAGGCCCCCTAAGAAACCTCCGCGCGCGCCCCACGGGAAAGCCTCGCCCCCGGGCCGCCAGGGCTTCCAAGGGCTCCGCGCTCCCCGCGCCGGAACGAACCCCAAACAGCACAAGGAGCCCCAAAACGCAGACATTCCGACTCCCAGCTCGCGGCCCCCCCGAAGCCGCGTGAGCCCCGAGCCTGCCCCCGGCGCCCCGAGTTTCTGGCCTCCAACTTCCTCACCTGGCCCAGCTGCCCATTCGGTTTCCGATTCCTTTTCCCCGCCCCCGGCCGCGGAGAACTGTGGGAATCGGAGTCCGCTTTGCTTAGGAAAGGAGATTGGCTTAGCCTCGGCCACTTCCGCCGGAAATGCTCAACACCCCGGAAAGCGTGCAAAATTAGCGCTAAGCGGTGTTGGGGGTTGTAGTTTATTCTTCACTTCAGGGGAAAATTGAGAAGTGAGGGCCAGGCTTCTTAAGGACCTCGAAGATCCTGGGTTCTAGCCCTAAAGGTATCAACCTTCCATAGCCCATCCACAAACTTCCCAAAGGGATTAAGAATCAAGGAGCTTCTACCTTGTATCTCTAATCATTGTATCTTCTACCTCTAATCATTCTTATCAACCCTCCCCAACCTCTTCGCTCACCTGAGGGTGATAAGGATGATTAGAAGCCATTTCCAGCCCTTCTGTTGCTCCAGGTAGAAGAGACTTCTCCTTTGCAGGCCTCTGAGGACTGCATGTAGAACATCCACAGAGGCACTTCTGTCATCTCCTAACAACTCCTTTTTTACTTTTATTTTTTATTATTGATTTCAGAGAGGAAGGGAGAGGGAGACAGATATACTAGTAAACATCCATGATGAGCCCCGGCCTGTTTGGCTCAGTGGATAGAGCGTCAGCCTGTGAACTGAAGGGTCCCAGGTTTGATGTCGGTCAAGGGCACATGCATGGATTGTGGGCTCCATCCCCAGTGCGGGGAGTGCAGGAGGCAGCCAATCCATAATTCTCTCTCATCATTGATGTTTCTCTCCCTCTCTCTCTCTCTCTCTCTCTCTCTCTCTCTCTCTCTCTCTCTGCCTCCCTCCCATCTTCCCTCCCTCCCTCCCTCTCCTGTACTCTCTGAAATCAATACAAAAATATTTTTAAAACAACAGCAACGTCAATGATAAGAACCATTGATTGGCTGCCTCCTGCACGCCTCCTCCTGGGAATTCAGCCCACAGCCCAGGCATGTGCTCTGACTGGGAATCACACCGTGACCTCCTGGTTCCTGGGTGGGATGTTCAACCCCTGAGTCACACCAGCCAGGCAGGGAAGCTAACAAGTCTTAATAATGGCTTTGAGTCTCCTTGGCTTTACCATTTGACTTCTCTCCCTCCTCTGCACTACTATTTGCCCAGCCTTATAACCTCCCATCATTCCCAACCCTCCCCTTTCAAATACTATGTCCAGGACACCACTCCTGACCCATCGCAATCCCATGGCTGCATTCATAATAGTCCATTCCTCCCACCCCATCCCCAACCCAATACCAGTGTGCATAGCTGTCCCAGTCACAGTTTTGTTCTGGTCCTCTGTCTGGTTCTGTTTCTGTTTCATTAGACTTGGAACCCCTGAAATCAGTGATCTTCTAGATTCCTCCCACCTCCAGCCCTTACACACATCAGCACAGCCATGCCTGAGATCAGGGAGAAGCAAGGTCTCCCTGCAGGTAGTAAGAAAGGAAAGCAATAAACCCAGAACATGAAGAAGTGAGAAAACAAGGATGCCACCCCTTCCCAAGCCTCTCCTGCTCTCCTACTAACAAACAAAATATTAATGGATGCAGCAAGAGCTTCAGGGAACTATGAGCAGTGACACACTGATATCAAAAGTGAGAAGCTACTCTCAACCTTGCAAGACTTCAGAAACTTAATTAATCATCCACCTGGCAAAGTCCATTACTTCCTGAGCTTTCATTTGTGTCAGAATTTCTCCCTCTCTGTGCCTTTGCCTTTCTCTCCCCGTATCAATCTATATCTCTAGCCTCTGCTAATCTGTGTGCCTCTGTCTCTCTGTGTGTATATCTATTTCCCTGTATCTGCTTCATTCCACTTCTCTGGAATGATTGAAACAAGAGTATCCTGAGCCTAGAGAATTGGGTCATTCCTTAGGGGCCAGCCGGTCCTGGGACAGGGCCCTCTGCCATCCACCAGCCTGTTCTGGGGCCTGAGCACCGGCTGTAAAGGGTTAACTTCAGGCTTGTTTTCCTTTGGTTTCCTTGGGCAGTCTGGGCTGTGTTGGGCCATGAGCGCCATCTATCGGCCTCTGAAGGTCATAGCTCTGACTCCGCTATTTCAGCCCTTCCCCTGCCTCCATGCTCTCAGAGTAGGAAGGGGAAATGGTCTCGCTGCACTTCTCCAGCTCAGAAACAGATATTTGTAGAAGTGAGGGCCATGATTTCCCCTCCCCAAATACCAGGTGTCACCCATATCAGCTGCCACTGCCCGCGGAACCCCAATGGTTTTCGTGTTTGACTTTCAGTGTAGCCATCTCCCCCAATCCCCACTACCCTGGGCAGTTACCCTCTCTCAGTCAGCCCAGTAAACATGGAGAGAGCATTGGAGTGGAGAGGTGACATAGCAGAGGCCTTTAAAAGTTGGGCTCTGGCCGAAACCGGTTTGGCTCAGTGGATGGAGCGTCGGCCTGCGGACTGGAGGGTCCTGGGTTCGATTCCGGTCAAGGGCATGTGCCTTGGTTTTGGGCACATCCCCAGTGGGGGGATGCAAGAGGCAGCTGATCAATGATTCTATCTCATTGATGTTTCTGACTTTCTATCCCTCTCTCTTCCTCTCTGTGAACAATCAATAATATATATATATATATATATATATATATATATATATATATATATAATTTTTATTTTTTTTTTTTTAATTAAAGTTGGGCTCTGAACTCAGACTGCCTGGGTTCGAATCCCAGCTTGGCCAATTTACTAGTGGTGACCTTGGGCAATTACTCAATTTCTCTGTGCCTCACTCAACTCAGCTGTGAAATGGGTGGCCACTATAATCCACGTCTCCTTTTGTGATGACACCAGTACGTAATGTGCTTAGTATGGTGTGCAGCACAGACTGATGCTCCATACGGTTAGTTGTTGTCATGAGCATGCGCCAGGTCCTCAGGCAGGTGTTAGTCTGAGGCCCAAGACCCGGGCCATGAGCCATGTCAGACACACGGCACAGAGGAGAAGACAGGCAACTCGTCCCTGGCTATGTCTACAAAGACGGTGCCCCAAACGGGCGAGGGGTGGGGGCTGGGAGTTCATGACTGCAAGGAAAGTACGTTTAAGGTCTCCAACATCAGCAGAGATGGGACGACGGGGTCAAAGAAACAAGGAACTTGAGATGAAGAAGGAGGAAGGAAAGGTGTTAACTTGGAGCACTGTTGACAGGCCTGAAAAGGAGCCTAATTTGGGGAAGTGGGGAGAGGTCCCTGAGGTGGGGGGTGAGGAAGGGCCACTGCATCCAAGTACAGGCACAAAGCTTTGATCAGATGTACCGTATTTTTAGGACCATAAGATGCTCCAGACTATAAGACGCACCAGTTTTTGGAGAAGGGAAATGAAGAAAAAATATTCTGAAACAAATAGTGTCCTAAAATATTTTATGTGCATTAAAACCCAACATCACAGTCATAAACACATGTAATCAACCCTGTAAAGTAAACAGCAGCATTTAGAACCATTTTAGAGCCGGGCAAGCACACAGAGACCACACAGAGCCGGGCAAGTAAAAAAACTTTTTTTTTAAAGTATATGTGTAGGCTATATTTGGACCATAAGACGCAGGGACTTTTTCCCCCCACTTCTGGAGGAAAAAAAGTGCGTCTTATGGTCCGAAAAATACGGTATGTTATCACCGCCCCGTCCTAGCTCCACGGGGACTTAACCCTCAAAGTATTTCCTCCACCCGGGTGCAGAGGGGACTCACACATGCAGACAGCTCTCTGCGGGTCCTAAGGCCCCTTCCCACCCCCCTCCTGGAATTAGAAAGCCAGGAGAACCAGCCTGTGAATGTGCTCATTTGTTCCTTAACAGCTCAGCTCAGCCAGCCATCTCCCTGTCTCTGTGTCATCTGCACCTCTGCCTCCACCTACCTTTCTGGGAAATGGGTACATAGATTCTTCTCCCAGGGCAGAGAATGCGGGGGAGAGTGACACTCTCTGTGAAGACAGAAATGCAGAGCCAGTGGGGTCCCTGGTCCACCCTCACCACCCCAACACCCCCAGCTCCAACCCCAAGCCAGCACAGACGAGCTTTATGGATTGATGGCCACTTAACTGGAGGCAGGTGACAGCCTCCAAGTCACCCCAACTCTCCTGGGGCCTGGATGCCGGGGTTCCCAGGAGGGGAGCAGGGACGGGCTGGTTGGGCTGATTTGCATCGCTTACTTGGGAAGCAATTATCGGAGGAGCTGTCAGCTCAGCGCAGCTCTTTCCTCGCTAATCGGATTTCACCGGAGCCTGGGGCTGGGGGGGCTGAGTAATTTGGCTTGATGCAGTGGTGGGAGACGTCGGGCCAGGAGGCCAGCCAATCTGTCTGAGTGGTGTTAGAGTTGTCCAGAGCAATTATCCTGAGCGGACCACACAGACATCAGACAGACAGACAGCCAAGGGGTCCCCAACTCCTGCGGCAGAAAGAAGAACCCGCACATTTGGCAGAGGGGCGGAGTATCTCCCACAGGAGGAGCCAAATTAAGCCGACTGAGAAGAGGAGTCAAGATGGGTCTGGGAGGGGGGCCAAGTAGCCAAGTGCAAAGAAGATCCAAGAATCCCAGCTTCCGGCCAACCCACCACCCAGGCTTGGCCTTGCCCTGCGCTCCCAGGCAACCAGCAACAGAGCAGGGCCTGGACCAAGGATGGTCTCCCCTGCCCCCTGCAGTGCTCCCAGAGCACGCTTCTCTGTCCTGGTTCTGGCTCTGCCATTTGCCTTCTCCTGTCCCCTCCTCCCCACCCACAATGCCTCACTCTATGCCTCCCCAGGCTCTGCAGCAGGCTGCTGACCCCTCCCCGCCTCTGTCCTCCATCCAGCTCCTCTCAGAAGTGTGAGGAGGAGGGTAACTGCAATAGCTAACCTTTATGAGTGCTCCTCCATCAGACAGCACCCTAGGTGCGTGATAGAGATCCTCCCACTTAGCCCTCATGCTACCACTGGGAGGGACCCACTCTGCTACCCCATTTACTGATGAGCACACTGCTGCCGGCCAAACCTTCTGAAGGAGGGACACGTCTTTTTTTCCTCTTTATTCCGTTTATTGGG